TTGTAAGGGAAACCACTATTTGATCTGATATACTTTCTACTCAGCCATCTCACAGTAATTATATTTATTTAATGACAGTGGGAATAGTTTTTTGTGTGACAGGCTTCATGCTTTAGGATTTCATCAGACAAAAGTGATTTTTACATTGATGTAACTATACATGTGCATGAAGAAAAGGGAAAATTTTAAATTTATTTATTTTTTTAATATGTGTTTAGGTATATTTCATTTCAGTTAGTTTCTATTTGTTTATATTTCCATCACTTTTGTTATTAAGTATCCTACATTAAGATAATAGAAGATGAATGGTTAAATGTAAGAAGCTGGACAAAAATTTACTACAAAGGATCTAGCAATTAAAGCACTTTCAATACACTTTTTGTTTTAATAAATTTCTTTCTATTTTAATTTAAGTAGCATTTTTTAAATCAAAATTATTGTCAGACTCATTACAGCCAGCAACTAATGAATTTAATATGTTGTTTGTAAAAGATTCCTTTTACATTCATATAATCTTATTTAAATTCCTAAATATATATATATATATATATATATATATATAGAAAGAGAGAGAGATAGATAAAATGAGAACAAATTCCACTGTACGTAACATTTAATTTAAAAGCTCAATACATAGTAGAGATAAATATTATTTATTTTAGGATATTAAAACATGTTCTAAATGCTTCTGAAAATGATTAATGTTTAGTAGATCATTTTCAAAGCCATGTAAGTGATTAATGGGGGGGGCAGTTTGAAAATAATCTACTAAGCATTAATCATTTTCAGAGGCATTTAGAAAATATATTAATATCCAAAAATAAATTATATATATTAGTGAATATAGATCGTATCCAATGTTGATAGTATGACTCTGAGTTTCATGCAATATTGTATTTGCACCTGAAGATTGCAGCAACTGCATGAAACTCCGAGTTGTGCTATTGACATTGGATATTATGTATGTTCACTAATATATACTTATTGCTCTGTCTCATAACATTGAGCACTGTATTTATAACACCTGCGGAAGAAGTATATACGTACGTAAAATTTTTTGTGCATGTATGTATGATTTTTATTATAGACATACTTTCTCTCTCTCTCTCTCTCTATATATATATATATATATATATATATATATATATATATATATAATATAATATATTAAAATAATAAGAAAGAACAGTAAGATTTATAATCCAGTGTTCTTAGTAATTATTTTTATTTTTAAAAAAACAGTGCTCGATACAAACAGTAGAGCATAATATTATAATTATTTTCTTTTTTAAAAATATGATTCCATCGTGAAACAGAAATTTCTATGTTTCAAAATTGAAACTAAAATTGTAAATTTAATTATAAAAATTAAACTTAAAATCTAGAGTTTCATGCCATTGTCAAGTGATTCCAAAATTTTTTTGTCATTGAAAACCCAGACAACATGCTGAATAACAGATGTCTATGTTTGTGAGCAGGCACACCTACCCCACCTAAATGTAACCTGAATTTGTAATTAACATGTATTTGATACATAAGTTGTCTAAGTAAATTGAAACCCAACCAACCTTAATCAAAATAGATTAAATTTTCCTTAACCTTAACAACTCAAAGTATTAAGATTGTCTGTGCTTATAAATTAAATAAATTTCTTAGAAAGTTATTCCTAGCATTGCTTGACAATCGAACAAAACTCTGGATTTTAAGATTAATTTTTATAATTAAATTTACAATTTTAGTTTCTGTTTTGAAACAGAAATTTCTGTTTTGTGATGGAATCATATTTTTAAAAAAGAAAAAATATATATAAATTCACACAATTGGAATTAAGATACCATTATGTAAATGGTCATTTTCACCTTGTAAAATTAAATTTACAGGATTTTTAAAAAAATCAGTGTATGATAAATTATTGAAAAAGGTTTTTCAATAATTTATCATACATTAACTGTTTGAAAAATCCTGTAAATTTAATTTTACAAAGTGAAAATGACCATTTACATAATTGTATGAATTGTATTGCTCCAATGTATTAAAAAAACATTGAGCTTTATGTGCGAATCAGTTTTAATATTTAATATTTATATTGTGTTAATAGGATTCACTTGGATTATATACCAACAGATTACTACCTGTGTATATATGGGAATTTTAGGCAAAAGATGTATGCCAAAGTGGAAAAAGTTTTTGTGTGATGTGTTTTGACCTGTAGAACTTCATCTGACTAGGTTTGTTTATGCCAGTATGTGGAATGTTGTGTGGGTTTTAAGCTATCCTTAAAAGTCATCAAAGGTACAAACATGAGTTTGGTCAACAAGAGCATCACATGCTGTTGAACCCACAAAAGTTGCAAATGACAGGAGTCTATCACATATATATTATTGGCTGGACAGGTGATCCCAGCATGCAACACTATTGATAAGTGTCATACAAAACTTGTGTAGGAAATTGAGTAGACAAAACTGTTCAAAAGCCATCAAATCATTGTGGCCTTGTTCATCTGTTGATTATGACAGATTATGTATTCTCTCCCAGAAACATTAACTATGGTTGACTGAACATAGTTGCAGTATAAACCAAAAGGTGGTTCTGTGGATGTTGAAAAACAAAAACAAAAAGAAGACGTGTGCCTGAGTGGGCATCTGCAATAGGGATTTGTTAGCTACCCAAGCAGATAAATGTAGTCAGAAATGAGTAGCCAGTTGAGATATATATATAATATATACAGGATAATGATATATGAATTTTTATATATCAAGAACAATTTTAGGGGAAAGATGTATGAGGAAGTGGAAAAAAATTTTCTGTGATGTGTTTTGTTCTTTATGACTTTATTGAACTTTATTTAAGTTTATGTTGATACAACTTTTGGGTATATAATCTAACAAATTTCATTTAGATTGATTATCTTTCCAACACTTTTATTATTAAACAAAAAGAAAAATTGAAGTCATAAAGGACAAAACATGTCAAACAAAACCTTTTTCTGCTTTAATCATATATGGTTGGAGGAATGTATGTGAACAAAAGAATAAGAAAATTTAAATAAACACATAACTATGAGTAACTAATTATTAATTTTGGAAAAATGCCTTTTCGGTCATTTTTTTTTTTCATTTGCTCTTGCCACATAAATTCATTAAAATAGTTTATGAGTATCTGGATTTATGCTTTTTGTTTTTCAGAAATAAAAATGAAAATGTTAAAACTATTTATTTGACTGTTTGTTTACAAGAATAGTGTTTAATACTTTTGTTGTTGGTTCTCGAGAAAAAAGCAAATGTATAAAACTAGTATGTTTGGATTTTATTTAAATTCTAAAAATAGCTTTGTAAAACAATAAAACTTGCTCAGGAAGTATACAGTAAGTTATGTCAAGAGGAAATCCTGTCATTTTGACAAAGTATGTATGTTAAATTTCACCAATGAATTAGTACCTGGAATTGTCTGGGTTTGAGCTTACAAGTTAACAGGTGGTTAACTGAACTGAAATAGGAAAGTCTACTCTTTTTTTCACAGCCACTGATTGAAATAACTGAAGCTGCCTATATGGAAGTGAATGCTTGTTGACAATCTCCTTAAAGATGAATTAAAGACTTGAAACAATAAAAATGTGTTTCTACAGAAAGATGCTGAGAATACCATGAAATACATGTGAGCAATAACAAAGTTTTAGAGAAAATGGAAACAAAAAGGACACTTATATTTAACATCAGAAATTTGAAATTTCTAGGACACATAATGAGCTTGAGTAGATGGATGGTGAAACAAGGATAAGGAGAGATAACAAGAAGACAAAATTTATTAAGTACTACAAAAGACAGGAAATTGTGGAGAGCGATGATCGCCTTCTTTCTGAAGGTGCAAGGCATGTAGAAAAAGACAGCAGAAATCAGCTGACACCCCCACTTATCTAGGTCATTGGTTCAACAAATGATATTTTACCAACTGAATTTCCAGTGAAGTCCAACAAAAAAAGATACCACAGCTTAGTGAGGGTCTAAGGTTCTAACTAAGTTGGCAATGACTAACACTATACAACATGATTGTAACCTGGCCATTGTCACGAGGCATGACTGTAAGATTTGTCCACATGACTATTGAGTGAAATTATGTCTTGCATTAAAGGCCAGCCTGGACAGGAGCAGGTTACAAATCTTCCTCAGCTAGTTTTTAACTTTGTGACTTTCTAAATTAACCTTATCAGCAAAGCCATAAGAAGCATGTGTGATTTATACTAAAAAATTATAATGTTGTATTACACCTCTCCAGTTTTTGACGAGTATTTCTTTCATTTTACATTATTTTGCTTTTTACAGCAACTCCTATGTCATCATTCTCTGACCATCAGTTAGCAGCATAAATTGAAATAAGTAAACCTCACACTCATTATTCTTGAGAGTCAGTCTTTCCATGGCACCAGCCATGCTATAAAAATAAAAGTATGCTATAAAAGCCAATTAGTAATAATCATTAAAATCTAGTCATATCTATATGGGGGTGTAAAACTAGGTACAGAGTAATAAAAAAAAATAAAATGTGCACACAAAATGTATTGTATTGATTATACAAACATATCTGTAATAAACATAGATCCCTCAAATGTTCAAACTCATTGTCTGCCATCATTCACACATTCCTGAAAAACATTTTTTATTATAATTTATTCAAAAATAAAAAATTATAATAAAATTATAATACTGGTATAATACTTAGTGTATACCTAATTTTTGCATCCTCCTTGTTTCTCTGATTGTTAGTACAGTGTTAATTTTGCTTAAACTTATTTATTCCAATTTATGATGCTTACTGATAGTTTTAAAATGATAACTTGAGATTTGATAAAAAACAGCAGAACTTAAAACGGAAGCAATATTAATAAAAAAATAATAACAATTAACAATGCAAATTTGAATATAATTAAATATGAATTTCTTGTGAACTTTGACATTTTTTAAATAGCAAACTGATTTTGCCTTTATATAATTTCCTTGCTCTAGGTGGCTGCATGTAAATTTGTACTTTATTTCGATGTGGCTGATGAAACCATGAAGACACGTTTGCTGGGCCGGGCTCTCACCAGTGGAAGAGTTGATGATAATGAGGAGACAATCATGAAGAGGCTGAAGACATTTCATGACCACACCGCTCCAGTTATGGATTATTATGCCAAACAAAACAAGTTGCAAACTGTAAGTATTATTTCAGCTTTGTTATGAAGAATGAGTTGTACATGTGCTGACACTTCTTTGGAATTTCAATTTATTATTAAATTTTAACACCAATTCATATCAAAGTCTTAAACAAAACCTGACAAATCTTCAATCAACTTTTGGTTCCTGTTATAGTCATATTCAAATATTTATTGAAACTTTAAAAACTAATGAAATCTGGCATGGTAGATCATGTATAAATGGAAAAAAAAGAAGTGCAGTATTCCCTCTGCACTGAGGTTAGAATTATATACAAAACCAAATTGAAAATAATGAATAGGAAAGCATATAGGAGTCTGATAAAACTCCATCAGCTAATATTTTAAGACATTATTCAATAAAACTATGACAAGGAGATATATTTCTCATTTAATTTTCTTGGATACGTTTATATTAATGTGGTAATAAAATAAGTACATCCTATCTCCCTTCTTGCTTGTTACCATCCACTATAATAAAATAAGCATTTTCACTTTTAAAGCTGAATCAGTCAAATAAAACTTCATAAGCTTCTACTCAGAGTTGTTGCTATATTACGATTAACATTTAAAAATGATTTATGTTTACCACTTTTATGCTATCTGCTTCCTGTTAAAGTAATTTTTGCATAGTTTCTTAACATTAAACCCCTCTTTATTCTTCTTATAATCATTGGAAATGATTATGAGCCAATTGGTTCATAATCACCTTCCAATCATGCTCCATTTTCATCTCTTTTCTAGATTCCAAGAGTAACCAAAATGTGACTCATAGACCACTTGCAGTTCTGACATTCAATCTAGTGGTAGAATTCTTTTTGATACTTCTGGCAACATTTGCTTGAGTCATAAAGATATTATAAGACTCTAATTTTATAATATGATACCTGATTAAAATTTTTTGGGCTTGATTTTTCTGCTCTGTATTTAAGTTAAATGTTTACTATTAAAATGAATTACTCATTTACCCCACCCTTTTTTTTTCTTTTTTTAGATGTCACATTCTATTTTATTGAAATTTGAATATTTTTTCTCAAGATTTTCGGCATAAGTTTATATAAAAATATTCTGTAAAAAGAGTATATGCATCTAATAATGAAATCCTTTGAAAAATGTTCTTAATGTGTTTTTTGTTCTGAAATATTATCCTCCTTAGCTCTTAGATAAAGCAAATGTAACTAATCTTTGCTTTGATCCATAATTGTTGCACTGTAATAGTTTGCATTCTAATTGTTAGACAAACATTTCCTTTGTCTTGCCAATCATTTTGCTTTGCTTAACTCTTTATCATAAGAGGAGATGAGAGGTGACATTGCAGTCAGTGGCATAGGATGGGTTTTAATTGCCCAGGTCAATTTAAACCTCACCTTAGCCATGAGCTGTTATAAATTCTAGTCTTGTATATATTTTCTCAAGCTAACTAATATTTTTGTGCCCCTAAAATTTTGGTGCCTGGGACAATTGCCCCTCTAGCCCTCTCCATGCTATGTCATCGATTGCAGTTACCAACACAGAAAGCAAAATCAGAAAAAAACTTAAAATGCTGACTGAGGCTGTATTCATACTCAAGGGAAAAGACATCAATCCTTATGTTCATTAACAGAAGGTTTTGTCACTATCATGTCACCATAGCTGACAAGAAGTCTCTTCTGTATGTCTATGGCCAGGACAGAGGGTTCCCCCAAGGGACTCAACGAATCCATGTTTATGACCAAGATGAGCCTTCAAGATGGAGCACATCGGCTGTAGTTTGATCGGAAGAATGATGGGTCCCACCAAGTGTGCTTGCCCAAGACATGCTATGCGTCAATGAATACCTCTCTGGCTTTCAACCCAGATATATAGAGGAAACTGGTTAGGTGCTCATTGACTTTACAATTATACCTGTGTATAATTATTTCTGTGCATGTGTGGAAATTTTTATGCCATTATACTGTGACAGTTTCCAGCTATTACACTTAGAATACAAATGTGTATTGCACGCTCATTGGAGTATTGTTTTCTCTCGGGATACCCGAACACATTAGGCAGAGATATTGAACCAAGCAAGAACACACCACTTGTTTGAGAGGCTTGGTCAGTACTTAGATAGGTGACCATTTGGAAATACCAGGTGATGTAATCTTGGTCATGTGGATAGTGTAATGGATAATGGCTCAGAATTGTTAACCAGAGAACCAAGTTCCAGTTCCCGTTGGGTTTGTTGTATTCACTTATTCACAAATACCATTGGGAAAGGTATGACTCTACCTCTACTCCCCCTACTTGTATTACTAAAAACCATTATTATTTTTTTTTAAAATTAACTGTGTACAAAATATTTCGATTATTTACATTGTTTGTACTTTGTCCTCATCTTTATTGCCATATACACAACATTTCGACCATTGTATGCTCCAGCCTTCTTCAGGTGATTGGAATTTTGAACTGAACCCTTTATTTCACCCACCAGGGTAGATTGAAGAAGGCTGGAGTGTACAACAGCCAAAATGTTGTGAATATGGGAATAAAGATGAGGACAACTGTCCAAACAATATAAATAATTATAATACCTCATCTCAGAAATATAGACAAAATATTTAGATTTCAGCATTAAATAACACATAGAAGTTGATATGCTGCTTGGTTGGTTCACTCATAGTAATGAAATCTGTTAATTACTTTCCAAACACACTAATATTTGCTAAACATAATCTGTCATGAAGTCAAAATTGCAGATCAAGAAAGTATTTGAGAATCGTATACATTACAGTAGAGATGGTCTATATGACAAAAGTGCTAACCATTGTTCCATGGTAAGGTATCCTATTTATTCAGCTTGCATTTTTCTGGTACAAGATCATAAGAGTGGGAACCTTGTATGGATTTAACAAATTAGTCACCACATTGCTGCCAATATTGACTATCAGCAATTCATTTTGCATCATCAGCTGAATTTGTTCTCTTTTTTTTTTTTTTTTTTTCCAGGTGAAGGCTGAATGTAGCCCTGAAGAAGTATTTTGCCAAGTGGAGAAAATATTCAAGCAATGCTGCCCAAACCTAAGTATGATTTTGTTGCATTGTTGTCCTAATGTTCTGTCCATAAGATATTTCCTCTCTTGCCTCAAATTTATCTATCAAATCTGATTTTATCTACTACTTCAGTTGTATTTTTTTCATTCATAACTTTGAAAATTCATTTTTCCCATGAAAAAATATTGTTGTCATTGCTGATATAATTACTTGTAGTAACTGATTTCTTTTAATTATTCCATTTTTTTAATATTTAAAGTTATTTTATTTTTGACTGGTTTTCTCTTTTTGTTTGGTTTTCAAATTATAATCTGTAAATCCTTATGGATTTGTGCTGCTTTTTCTTCTTTTTAATCTTGGTCTTTTTAATTTTAAATTTTATTTAAAAAAAATTTATTTCTATTTTTAGTCTTTTTTTTATTGCAACTATCTTTAAAAAGATTTTATTTTATATCTTTCCAAAAAAGTTTATGAATTTATTTATAATGTTTTAAAAGTTCATCGTGTCAGATAATTTTGGTTTATAACATTTCTGAATATGTAACAAAATAGAAAGCTATACAAAAAAAATCAAAAATTCTTTTTGCAAAACCTTAACTCATAAAAATTTTTCTGAAATGATTTTGATTGTGCTTATTTTATGTTCATCTTGTTTATATTTTTATTGATATTAATTCTGAGAGTTGTTAATGTCAGAAAGAAGTAAAGGCAAGTTCGAATCTCTTGAAGAGAAATGTTTATAACATAATTTGTATTATCTTAAAACCTCTTTGTGGATATTTCTCATTCTCTTAAGACAAGTAAACTTTAATCTGTTTATTTTCTTTTCAATCTGAGAATGGAAAAAAAAATCAATTTATAGCATCAAAAAGAATTAAACCATTTTGATAATTTAATAGAAAATTTATTTATTAAGATATTTACAGATTGAAATTCTGTTCTTATCATATTTCTATTCAAAAGGATGATGCTTTTTGATTCTAGTGTTATCAGCTGTGTTATGGTTTCTTAGCCACATTTGAATTGAATCACTGCAGTCTCAAAGATCCAATGGAAGACCTATCAAATTTATGACTAGAAGATATTCCACATTTTTAAGTTGAAGATGATTTCTTTTGTCAGAATAAATGATGTTCATCACAGAAAACCCTCTTTCAACCTTCTTCTATTCTGTATAAAATGTTTATCCTGCCACTGAAGGTGACTCTGACACCTGAACAATATGTGTGTTTGAATTTCATGGTTGTGTTGTTATATCTTGTTATTGTGCTAGTCTCACATTACTTTAGGACTAACATGAATAAGAATGAAAACTTTATCAACATTTAACATTTAATAAAGCTACTTATTTACGTCTAAAAACATAAATACCATGATTAACATAAACACAATGGTATTAATTATATTTTTAGTTATTATATATTGTCTATTAATGTATAAGATTATTTTTTGGGTAATCCAACAACTGTTCACTAAGCTTTTATAATTTTAAGAATTGGTTTGTGCAAATCGGTAGGATGCCACCACCACATACACCTGTAGAAAGCTGGATCATACAATAGCCAATAGGTGTATAATGGTTTGAATGTTTGCTAAAATATTATATTCTGTGCTAATAGGAAATATATACTTGAAAAACAAGGTAGATAAAATAAGTAAAGGTTTATTGCAAAAAAACAGTATAATAAGAATAAATGTAACAGTTATGCACAAGGTTGTCGCAAGTCAATCAAATAGTGAGTGCTACTATTGGAAGGTTGGTAGTTCTCACGTAAGTCTGAGTCATACTCAACAGATCTCAGTTAGTAATATTTACCAATCTCCCTGCAAGGTAGGATGTGGTGCAAGGCTGAATTTAATGTGAGGAAATCTGAGCCTGTAGGCTCAGCCAAAAAATCTCCATAGAACCCGCATAAACAGGATCAGGTTGGTCAACCTCCCCAAACAAGACTCTGCCCTTTGGCAGAGCCTTGTCCGGCTTCCTCTTTGCCTGAAGGCAGAGAGTTCGACCATCTAGCTGGAACAGATCCCAGCTAGTCTCTGTAGTATGTTGACTTACAGATAGTGTAGTCACTCATGGCGGGGTGACAGGTTATTCCATTACATCATAAAATAATAAAAAGTAAGCCATTTCTTAGTCTTATTGTTAACATTTAAAGTTTCTGATTTGAAAAAAATTAACTCATTTAATTTATTCTAATTTTAGAATGCTGCATAGATGACTGCAAAGTGCTTTTTGTTGTTGGTAAGTATTTTAGAACAAATCTTTTGTTTGTCTCTTATCAAAACAAGACAATCATTTTTATTCTTATATTCTATACTAAAAGTTTATCCTGCCACTGAAAGTGACTCTGACACCTGAATAATCTGTGTGTTTAAATTTCATAGTTGCGTTCTTACATCCTGCTATTGTGCCAGTCCCACATTACTTTGGGACTAACACAAATAAGAATGAAAACTTTATCAACATTTAATAAAGCTATTTATTTATGTCTAAAGACATGAATACCATGATTAGCATAAACACAATGTCCTTTCTTATATATAGTGAATGTCAGGCGGACTAACCCATCTGGTGAAGTGCAATAGGGCCAGAAAACTTGTATTTTTAAACCCTTGGTAACTGGTAGTGTGGCAGCAGAGAGAATTCCTTACATGTCACTTTAGAACAGGTCCGAATCTCTTCTCCTCATGGTCAGTTTTTCCAAACCTACATGGTTTAATTAAACAATGAGAGACCGCTTCATATCATGTGACCTTTCTTTATATGAATTTTAGCTGATGAATTTTAGAGATCCAACACTGCTATATCAACAAAAAATAACTTAAGTGAAATTAACAATAAGGATACTGCAATTGAGAGGCCTTGAAAAAGAATGCAGTGGAAAGGGAAGTAATATTAATAATGCAAAATGTTAAGGGTTAAAGCCAACCAGGTTTTTTTAGAATTGATTTGTATGAATAGAATGTGTATTCTTTATAAGAAATCAGTTTGTAGATCCAGGTTTCATTGACATATTTTTGTAAAGAGGGTTTTTGTTGAGTCAAAGGTATTGCTGGTACTTCTTTTTTTTTTCAAAAATGTATTGCTGGTATTTTTGCTATAAAAATCTATTTTTATACTTTCATAGTGTTTTGACCCCATTTTGGTGGTTAACTGTTTGCCCATAGCTGCCCCCCCCTAACAGGTGCTACCACCCTGGGTCAAGGTGAACCTGGGAACAATAGCAATTAAGAGATGCTTTCACACTCCTCAAAACCTCCCAATCAGAGACCTTGCTGCTGGAGATTTTTTTTGGAGTTCAGTTATTATTTTGTACTTTGGAAATAACATTTATACATTCTCTTAGAGGAGTGCAAATGGCGGCCTTCAGAACAATATGACTTCTGAAGCAATAATATACTACACTTCATATACTATGCTATAGATTTGCTGTTTTTCCATATAAATGCTTAGTTTTGCTGAGAAAATATATGCAAGACAAATAACACTGCTTTATATTCATACTTTTTTATTGTAAGATTGTTCAGTTACATTACTAAACTCACCAGATATAATATTTGCATTATCCAGTATGCTTTCTGGATTTTCATTGACAATTATGTTTCTAATTTTAATATCAGATTTTGGTGAGATTCGACAGTTTCCAATAACAATGATATGTTTTACATACCTGAATGAATATTTTGTAAATTGCTTTGTCTTGTCACTTGAATTTAATAATCTTTATTAGCAGGAAATCAAAAATGTTTAAATTTGAATATGATTATATTTTTCTTGTGAGATTTGAAAAGATATAAAAGCATTAATATTTTCATCCTTCATTTTTATCACTGCATTTTGGCCAAAGTGTTTATGGAATTGTAATATTACAACAACTCTAAGTAGAAGCTTATAAAGCTTTATTTAACTAATTCAACTTTAGCACTGAAAACATTTATTTTATTATAGTGGATGGTTACAAGCGAGAGGGCAGATGGGATGTGTTTATTTTATTACCATAGAAATTTAAAGGTTGCCTGTTAGTCTGCATTTTGTGTGTGTATGTTCACATATGATATACAAAGAAAAAGCATACAAAAACTTAACATTTCTACCATGGACTGTTTGTTTTTTTATGGTGACTAGTAAAACAAAGTTCTCAAAGGCTCTTGGGTATGTCCGTTTTATTTTTTTATTTACAAGTAAGGATGACATTGGTTAAAATTGTAAAGCTCAAGTCAGTTTTGTGCTGATTTGTAACAACCAAATTATTAACTTCATGAGTAGGAACACAAGGCATGTCCAAATGATGTTGTTGGAATGTGGAAAGTAAACTTTTCTGTCATTTACGGAAGTGAAATCATAAAATTGCATAAATCAAAAACCCTTTCTGGTTCCTTTATTACTTGTCATTAGGGTAGATTGATTTTCCACTTTTTGTAGAAAATCAATTTTGCACTTGGTATGAAAGCTGGATTTGATGTGTTAAGTACTGACTCCAAAAATTAGATTAATAGCGTTTACCAATTTTTGAGCATTTAGTTTTAAAAATGATATGAAAAATGAATAAATCCAAATAAAGTTAATATCTTTTGTATCAGATACATTGAATGGAAAATATATTCAAAACAATTCTAATTAGGACTCACCACAATGCAATTTTTTTACTGTATTCGATAAATAAAAACTGTAAAAACATTGTAAAAGATTACAACAAAGGCTACTCAAGGAATAAGATTTGTTAGATCATAATTAATAAAAACAAAAAATAGATACAAGTGTATATACACCATAATACTGCTGAGTACAAATTAGACAAAATGTTTTGAATTTACATTGTCTATTGAAAATCACACTAAAACTATTGTATAACATATTACTTCATAATATAGCTAAATTGTTCAGTATAATTTCCCTTTGAATTAAATGAGGTTCTTATTTGATGATACAATGATTTAGTAACAATGTGTGTGTGCCTTGCATCTTGTTCAAATTTTATAAGACTGTGCTATAAGTTTTTTTTTTATTCTTTATTATTTTATTGGTTTTATTTCATTTTTCCACATGTTCTTGCATTAATTAGATTGCATCATCATCATCTTGTTAATCTTATCGCTCTCATACTTTTTTTTACTGGTGTATGCCTTTTATACAAACCTATAAATATTTCCATTTTTAAAAGATTAGATATATTTATTTTGAAAGTATTTACAAATGTGTTCTTTGGCTAGAACTTAGCAAAATGGATGAGAATCACAGCCTAACAATTTGTTGAATTTGAAAGTCTGCACTCATAATTTCAGATAGTATTGATGCCCTTGACCATATGGACAGAAAATAAAGTATCACTCCAATCTTCCAAGTGAGATAAAACTTGCTTGCCTGTCTAGAAAATCTGGTTTTTAACTGGTCTCAAACACCAATTGATTGTATTAACAGAATTTACCTATCTCAGCTGCCAAGCACATGTTTTCTATGTGCGTATGTTAGCAATAAGAAGACAATTATCTAAATAAATAAATGACAAATTCTGTCTGTCCATCTGTGTGTCTGAAACTTGTGCTATACTTGCTCTACATAGACATATTATATCTTTGTGGAATCAGAATGATCCTGAGATTGAAAATTTGCCCTCCATCTGGTACTTGAACATCCAGTATTGGGATTTGTGTCTGGATGAAGAGGGAACCATGAAAAATTCAGATTTTAAAATAACTGAAAAAAATTAGTGGTTTTAAAAGTTTTTAATTCATATTGAGTTTAAAGTAACACAAAAAATTTTGAAGTTTCATGTAGTTTGTGATTTGAAGAACTCAATTTTTATCCGAAATTGGAATTTCAGTCCAAATCAGACTTTCATCTGGAATTGGACTTATAGCCTGAATCAGAGTTAAAATGAGGTTTTGAAGTTCCATGGTGTGAATTGAGGCATTCAGTTATTTCTTCAAAATTATTATTGCTGTTTTCTAAACTGGACCAGAGGTTCCTTTGGTTTTGGACTGGAGGTCCAATTAGCCCTCTTCAGGATTTTTAAACTAGTTTAAAATAAAATAGGAAGACTGCTCTTAAGTTGTTTCAGCTTGTTTGAAAATGCTGTAATAAAACTACAACAAAAATTTGAAGAATTTAGTTTAAAAAAATTAAAGAATGAAGCTGGTTGGCCAACTGTTGTATTCTGGTATACTTGCATGTCTTTTAGTCTACTAACTGCTGTGTCTACTTACATTTATATCTTGGTTAACCTATGAACTTTCCAGCCAACCCTCATACACCTGATGAGATTTGAAATGTTTCAGTAATGGGGCACTCAGTGAGAATTGAACACCCTACTCTGAACCAGATTAGCCTCACTAACCATTACCACATGCCAAGGAACATTTTTTTGTATGGTGTATCCAATGAGGCTTGAACTTATTACCCAGTAGTACTAGTCAATCATACTATCCTTACTAACCATTATTCTATACCAAGCTACCGATTCTAGTATGGGGCACTCAGTGAGGATCAAACTCAACTCACACTAGTTTTGCTAGGCATTACCCCATGCCAAGGCCTGTTGAATAAAATGTGATAAAAAGGAGAAAATAATTAATTGCTTTAATGTTTCAAGTAATTTTTTTTTAATTAAGTGCTTAGATGTTTTAATTAGTAAAATATTTTCAGCTTGCAAACTTCAGTTTATTTACACCAGATTCTTTCTTTTCAGTCCAGCTTGAGCATCTCTAAATGTCTTTTTATGTTGAGTTTGTCCCTTTGGCTTTCCTCAAGAGAACTTACTCTTCAAACAATGATCTGAATCTGTCTTATTTCTTACAGGTGGTCCTGGAAGTGGAAAGGGAACAATCTGTGCCAAATTAGTGCAGTCATATGGCTTCTGTCATTTATCTTCTGGAGATTTACTTAGAGAAGAGGTTGCATCTGGCTCTGCTAGAGGCAAAGAGCTTAATGCAATTATGCAAAAAGGAGATCTTGTTCCATTGGTAAGTTTCAAATGTCTTTTACTGAAAGGAAAGAAAAAGTACACTATGCTACTGTAGTAATAGGAGTAGTAATAGTATTGGACCTGCCATTCTTTGATGGATGTGCTAGTATGAAGTCATAAGTCATTGTGATTGGAGATGTTTAAGCACACTTGACTTTTTTCAATTGCTAATCATTCCAGATTATGCAATTTTTTCCAGAAATTTTAACTAAAGTCTGCTATCATAGTTGTTGTATAAACCACAGGTTGGTTGTGGGTGTTGAAGAAAGGCAAATATACCTGAACAGGGATTAGTGAGTCACCTGAGCAGATGCATATACTTGGAAATAAACAGTTGGCCCTTCTTTTTATGTGCCATGTCCCTTTATCGGTGATCGTGACTCTTCACATCTTCCTATCATTTGCCACTCTAAGCAATCTTTGCCCCTTACTATTCCTCCCAGTCAATGCTCTGCCATTCATTCACACAAATTCATTAAGTTCATGAATTTAAACTGTTTCTTTCAAATTCTAATTCTGCCCCTTTTTGCTTCCATTTTTGATAAAACTTCCTCATTATTGTCACATGTTCCATTGATGGCATTCCCAGTATCTTTCTGTAGAACATTTCTGTGGTATAAAATTTGATCTTCATTTGTGTGTAGAATTGCACAACAGTTGAGCACTGCTATATTTGCTTTCAATTAAATTTTCCTTTTTTTAATTCTTTGCTTAGCTTTTAGAAGGCATTTTTCACAATTCCAGTGGACCTTCAGATTTTTGTTTTGCATTTCTGTTGTCTGTTAAAACACTTCCCAGATAGTTAGAGTTCTGTACTTGCTTGAATTTGAGGTTTCCAACATTTAGCTGACATAAAAGGCAGGTATTGTATTTTCTTGAGCCTAACATGAGAAATTTTGAATGATAAAGGCAAAAATGTGTGGTTGTACAAAACACAAACATTTTCAGAAATTATTACTCAGCATAAAAACCTCTTATTTGAAACAGCAAGATTGAAAATACACTCCGTTAGCACAACAGATAATAAAACACAAAGTAGGCAGGTGTTGATAATAATTGTTTGTAAAAAGTATTTGATATGGCAGCAATATTTGTTCTTTGGGAATTAACATAATGGAATGTCTTTTGTCTCAAAGACAGGAAATTCACCAGAACTGATTTAAAAAAAAATTTAATAAAGGGAATACAGGTTGTGTATCCTTTATCCAAAATTCCCAATTCTGAAAACTTAAATCTGAAAGTTTTTCAGGTATTGACATGACTTGCCACAAATGGAAAATTTCAGAAAACACTTGGACGGTTCCTAAGTGATGTGCAGCTGTTATAAATGACCTCATCTGCCCTATGTTGACACTAGTATTTTGTTAGCAATCATTGCAGCAACACCTTCATTTGTGGATTACTTAGCAGGTGTTTTGTGTTCAGTAAAGATATTATTCAAAATGTCAAAAAGTCCTACTTTTATAAATGTTTTGTAAGTAGTGATGATATTTTTTGTATGTGTATATAAAGTACAAAACATTATTTTTATGTGAAATCTTAATTTCACCATTTAAAGATCTGTGTGAGTATTACATGACTAGTATCATTAACTGTATCTGTATATTCACAAAATTTATTAAATTTTATGTAAAACTAATTTCAGAGTATATATTATTTATATAAAACTACCTTGAGAGTGTATATATAAGCTGTATTATGAAATGTAAATAGATATTGTGTTCATGATTGGGTTCTATTCCCAAGCTGACCCATTTTATAGATGCTAGATACAAATTAAATAGCCTTTATTCCAAAATCATCAAAAATTTAAAAACTGAAGTACTTCTGGTGACACAAATTTCAAATAAAAGATTCTCAACTTGTACCCGAGATCTGTCATGTTTTGATAATATTAATGTTACAACAAAGGCCTAACTATTGTAGGAACTATGAACTTTCTTTTAGTTTTCCCACTTGAAAAATATGTTGATAATTTGCATGCTGTGACATTGTTGTCTAATATTTTCATAGTTCTTGTTGACTCAAAGTATACAGTTTGAAAACTTCAAACAATTCAAGAAAAAATAAACAATACAAAATTGATACATAAACAATTCCAACATAATTCTATAGCCATATAAGTAATGTTCACTTGTAATTTTAAATCACAAAATATTGCAATATTGAGATTTTAGCGGATAATATGGCACAACTTTTCAAAAAATTTGCATTAATGTACTACGGGATTATATTATACTTAAGGATGTAATTTATTCCTTGTTTTAGCTTCAAAAACACTGGGGCATATTATACTCAAGTTGTATTATACACAAGAAAATATTTACATTGTTTGAACTGTTGTCCTCATCTTTATTGCCACATTCACAATGTTTCAACTGTTGTACGCTCCGGCCTATTTTTTGGGTGATATTAGTTGGAATTTGAAACCAAACTTTTTATTTAGTTCACGGGGATAGATTGTTCTAATTCCACATGCCATGCCTTTGAATATCTCAGTTTCAGTTAATTCCCCTTGGTAACTCAACTCTATAAGGTTTTTGGTCCCTCTGCTGTGGCCTGGTATTGAACTCACAATTCTTTGGGTCCGGAGCATACAATGGCTGAAATGTTGTGAATATGGCAGAAAATATAGACAGATGTGCAAGAAAATATGGTTGCTCTGGATTCATTTGTCTTCATTATCTTTTGTTAATTGTTATAGAGTAGTTTCACAGTGGAGGCTTGTATTTCACTAAGTCAGTCCTAAAATAGGTTCAACGTACAAAACGTTAGGAACTTGATATAACAGTTAATGACGCAGCAATCTAGTTGTAGTGGCTGATACTTTTAATATCCGACTAACAGTCGTCCGACATCGACTGACTGACCAACTCGCTGAGCGACTAGCGACTGCTACTACTCCTACTTATTGTAGGTGGGAGATTAACAATAGAATAAGTGTGTTCCACTATAACATTAATAAAGCTGGTTTTTCTGTTTGCCCTTTCAGGAAGTGGTTTTGCAGCTGTTGAAAGAAACAATGATTAAAAAAGCTGCCCATGTCAAATGCTTCTTGATTGATGGCTATCCACGGGAGCTCCAACAAGGCAAACAATTTGAAAATGAGGTATAGTTTTGTCTTTCTCCATATTCCTTCTGTAATTCAACATTTAAAAAAATTATTCATAAAATCCAAATTTCAAAAAGCTAAAATTAATAACTTTTAATTAATTTAACTAATAAATTTGGCTGAATATCTAGAATATTATTATGAAAACATTTGATAATATTAGTTTTATTTAACACTGCAAATTGCTATGAAACCAAAACATTAACCTGAAAACTTGTGTCATGTTCTTAAATAGCCTTATCAGATTGAGACTTTCATATAAATGGTCCTGCATGGTGCCAAACCCATACAGAAATATCTAAACTGTTAGCTGTATATGACCATTTTCTAAGATCAATAGGGAAAAAGGCTTTGAGCACATAAAGCCTGAGGGTCACGGCAAGAATCACCCTTCTATAAACTTTTTGGACTTGCGCTACAGTATCACAAACCAAGAACTATACCAATTAATAGAAATCACATCACTCAAGGACTACCAACAGTAGCAACAACTAAAATGGATAGCACATGTAACTCAAAGAGAAAATAATGACATAATCAAGATGCTGATGTCCACATGACTTCAAACAAATGTTTAGGAAGGAAATCCTCATCAATACTGGAAAGAGTGATAACTGCTACTGGATTGAGAAACCTATTTTCCTGAAAAATTATTTTAATAGAAAGATTTTATTCATTTCAACTGATAGCAGCACTGTCTTCTCAGTCAATGAATACTTCCTTATAAAGAAACAGCTAATATTGCCATTATTATTACTATTACCATTCTGAAATATGAGTAATATTTCCAAAGTTGTCTGGCTGGGAAGGAAACCATTGTCAATACTGACAATAGCAATAATATCTACTGAGAAACCTATTTTCCTTAAAAATTTTTTCAAGAGAACAATTATATAAATTTCAACCAACAATAATAATAAGTGTTCAGTCAATGAATGCCAAATGTTTCCTTATAAGGAAGCAGCTAATATTACCATTATCATTTATTTTTAAAATATGAAAAAATTACTTTTTTTAATGCTGAGTTGAATTTACAAACTCACAATGAGGTTCTTGATATAAATTTTTAAATGCTCTGTTCCTTCTGAGTGTAAACAGTCATCACTCTCCATAGCTTCCTTTTCTTTATTATCCATGAATTGCCATGACTTCTTGAAAAAGATAATGGTGTGATTTCCTGATGCCTTCTCTACAGGTTTGAGTTCAGTGTAATCATTCTCTTAGATTGACTCCCACCCAAGAATAGAGAGCCCAGTCTATTTAATCCTTAGCTGAGAAGAGATGTAGTTATGCTATTCCCAAGTGCATTAGCATGAAAGTAAAACATAAATAATGAGACAATATTTTGAACTTGGCTCACCAATTCCACATTTCGTGTCAATAACTGTTATACCATCTGCCAATGCACTTGATATACATTATTCATTTTTAAAACATTGATCAGTACTTAATAAAATATATGTGTATATTTTGGGTTTTTTATTAAATTGAAGGAAATGAATTCAAGCCTCATAGACTTTTTTTCTGCTTCATGCTATTGAAACAGTTGGGATAAAAGAAATAAGATGCTGGTCAGAAATGAATAAGTAATTTTTCGTTTTTTTAACATGAAGTCAAATTTTATTTATTATGGATTGGTAGGTAGTGTAACATTTTGTGGCTTCGAAAGAAAAATTCAAATACCAACCAAGTTCATTACATTCACTTTTGCACATACTTCTACTCCCACTTCTGGCTACAGGTTAGATATTGAGGCAAACTGGGCTTTCTAGCCTTGGTTGGCTGCCAGTCTAAACAAATAATAACACTGTATTAAAGACTGATTGATGTGCTTATGACCGGGGAGGTTCAAGTGCACTAGCCTTATTCAACTATTGATCATGCCAGATTATGCATTCTCTTCTAGAAACAGTAACTAATGGCTGCTCATTATAGTTGTTGTATAAACCACAGATTGGCTGTGGTTGTTGAAGAAAGACAAATGTACCTGAGCTGGCGTCTACAACAGGGATTAGTAAGCCACCTAAGCAGACGCATATTTGTATTTACTCACAAATGAAGTCAGGTTGTGACACAAGGTCGGTTTAATGTGGGGAGCCCAGACATGTACACCTGAGCTAGGCACAAAAATTGCCTGCAACCCTCGCAACCATTTTGTTGCACTGGCCTTGGTGTGAGCATCAATCCCTCTCTCTGGTGCAATGAGAGGGTGCTTCCTCAGGCAACTGTTCCCCAGGGCTGGGCACCTCCCAGTATAATTTTCCTCAGTTGTGACTCTGTCCTCTGACGGAGCCACCTCTGAGCGCACTCTGCCCAAAGACAGAGACACAACTGAGAGATAAGTGATGTGTTACAAACCACTCAAGAGAGCAATTTACACACTCTGCAGATGCATATACTTGGAAATAAGCAGTATGAAAGACTGATTGGTGTGGTCATAGGGCAGACTGTCCTTCAGCCTTGGTTGGCAGTCTCTTTAACAGTGACTAGATAAAAATATCCATCCCCCAGCAGCCTGGGCCAATTATGAGGATGAGTCAGGCCAACTGAAAATCACACATCAGCCAATCAAGTAGTGTTTTTTTTTTTTTAATTTTATTGTCACATTCTCTGTTAATACTAGTGAATTACTAACAAAAACCTAATATATTACTAACAATTCAACTAATCAGAATTCTCTACTTTATTATAGGTTGCCAAATGCACAAATGTTTTGTATTTTACTGTTCCTGATGATGTCATGGTTAGCAGACTGCTTGAACGAGGTAAAACCAGTGGCCGTATTGATGACAATGAAGAAACCATCAAAAAGCGACTCCAAACTTTCCACAATATTACACAACCTGTAATTGATTATTATGAAAAAGAAAAGAAACTTGTGACGGTGAGGAACTATTTTAAAAACCTAAACATCTTATTCAGTTCTATTTTTGGACTGTAACAAAAAAATTGTTTAAAAATTGTTTACAATGTATTGATAAATATTTTACCCTTGCCTTCATTTTTTTTTTTTTTTACAGATCAATGCTGATAAATCAGTGGATGAAGTATTTGGACAGGTTCAGGCTTTTATGAAGAACTTTTAATTCAGAAAATGTCAGACATTGCTGTTAGGTGAGGAGAGAGGAAAAAGAAAAGATTTTAATTAAAAAAATAAAAATAAAAGATTGAATGTCTTAAAATAGAATTGCAAATGTAAAAAAACAAAACAAAATAAAAAAAAAACCTAAACAATTTTTGATCTGCTCCATAATTTTGAAAATATTTAAACTTGTTAATGTAATTATTATTCTGGCTGTTATGTTCTGAATAATATTGCCAATAAATGAATCAGATTTCTCATTTTATATCCTCATTGCCTCCATTTGCAACAAGATTCCCGGTAAAAAGAGAAAAAAAAACGTTCAACAAATGAGAGAGACAAAAAAATGAAAATGAAGATTATTGTTGAGAATACATAACTTTTTTTTTTATGTAAATTCAACTGTGTAAAAAATATTCCACTGTTTCTGTTGATAATTCTAATTTATTGAACATTGTAAAACATTTTTCAGCTCATAAATTCTCTTTTTATCCTCATTTGTCTTAATTTTCTTTTTGTCAATTGTTTGCTTCTTGGAATTCTCACAATCTTATTTACATGCGAGATTTGGATTTTCTCGATCCTTGATGTCTTTGTGTGTTACATCACACCAACCTTGTTTTTTTATTTTTATTACATTCATTCATACAATTATATGAAAAAGTAACTTACTTAGAAGGAAAATCCTATCGAATTGTACCAAAATATAAATTTGCTCCCCGGATTTTTTTCAATATTCCCATTCCTGAAAGAACTACTACTTTCCCAAGCCAAGATACATGACTACAAAAATGTTAAAAAAATTAAAAGAAAACAGTTAAACCCATGACCTCATGTTATTTAATATAGATAAAAACATAAATTAATCCCAAACTAAATTAATTCAGATACCAATTTGCACAAAACTTTCTCCAAAAAAAAAAAAAAATTTCCAAAACATCACTTACTCATTTTCATTTATTAGACATTGAATTGTATCACTTTACATCTTCCATAGCTTGCCTGACATTTTCATCTAACCTGATATATATTTATGAGCATTCCTAACTCAAGAATTTTGAAAAACCAATAACATTTTTGCTCTTGATATAAATACTTGTTACAAAATATAATTCTTGCATTTGCCTTGATAAAGTCCGACAGAGGGCAAAACAATTTGGCTAAGATAAGTTTTCTTTTTATCTCTATTATTCATATTGTCTTTTTACAGATGTACTCTATCTGAAATTTTTACATATATATATAAGCCATTTTTTTTTTTTTTTTTTTTTTTTTTATTGTTGCATGTCCCTTCAGGGTGTAGGTAATTATCTTTGCCTTTTATTATCTGTGAATTGCAAAGACTCCCTGGGAAAATTTTCCATTGCCTTCTTTACAGTTTTGAATTCAGAGTATTTTTCTCTTGGGCTGACTGCCACCCATGGTTATAAAGCCCAATCCACTCTGCTATTTAAACGGGGGTGGGGTAGAAGAGATTCATGCCTTTCTTAAGGGCCTTAGTGCAAAGATGGGCATAACTGTTTAGGTCAAAATTTGTCAATTCCACTTTCCATGTCAATGATTGATGCTAACCAGACATCCTCTTAAGCGATACTTGTTTTAATTACTGACCTAAAAAAATAACTGTTAAGCTGCTATATCTGTTGTCAGTTATGACAGGGCAATGAAAGTAATAAATTGGATTACTGAAAATAGAGGAAAATTTTACAAACTTCATTTTTTTATGGTAATTGACCATTGATTGACTTTTTTTATGGTAATTGACCATTAATTGACTTTTCTGATGTTTGCTGTTGTGTTGAAACCTGTAAGCAACAAGTTACTGGCTGAAGTCATTTGCTGTCTTTTGCCTACTGTATTTGCTGCATTTTTTCCAAACTCTGTTTGCCACGTCTTTTCCCAATTTCCCTATATTTTTATCTTTTTTAACAAATTTGACAATCAATTCTTTCTGTTGTCACTGTGAATGATTTAAGGAATAGAAACCATTTATGAATTTGTGTGTGGATAAAATGAAATTACCAACTATACTGTGGTTTATGGCCATATCACATTAAAACACCAGTTTCCATATCTCTACAAAATTAAGCAATGTCTAGCCCAGTCAGTACCTAAATGGGTGACCACTTAGGAATACAAGGTGCAGATGGTGTAATGGATAATGGCTCAGAATTGTTAATCGGAAAGCTGATTTCCAATTCCAGTTGGGTTCATTATATTCACTTATATGCAAATGCTCTTAAGAAAGGTATGAATCCACCTACTCTCAACCCAGCTATGGGTTAATAGTAAGATTTGATTCACTAAATCCTTATCTTAACCTTCCCAAAAAATCATTCTTAAAATCTAAAAATATTTTCTGGCTTTAAATAACCTTTATAAGGTTGATGGGCCATAGAAAGTGAATCAATCAGCTTTACTGTATTTGATCCTCAGAGTGAATCTTACTCATGATTGACTTTATGAATTTAAGCTTTATAAATACATGTAGGACTTACAAGTCTTCACTATTCTTTTGAGATCAATCCTTACTGGATACTCCATATTTATTGCCTTGTGTCAGACTAAGCTAATTTTTTTTTAAATACTTCAATGTTTGCCATAGAGGAATGGTCAACAAACTTGCCTCACAGACCATCACTACACTAGTTAGATCCACTTAGATGGCTTACATCTGTCACCTTGTGAAGGTTGTATAATGATTAGTTGCTCAAAACAAGAAATCAGCAAGCTGGATTTAAATTCCAGTCAAGTTTGTTATATTTGCTTTCATGCAAATTTATTTTGAAAAGAAATGAATCCATATCTTTATCCCATCATCTGTGAGTTAAATAGTAGAGCAGACTGGGCTCTTTAGCCTTGATGGGCAAACTGTTTAAGAGAAGGACAACTCTGAATCCTAAACTTGCTCATAACTAGATTAGGCTTGGCTAGTTAGTGATCATCTTCAAAAGAAAACAAACAAATTTAGTAAGTATAAATAACAACACTAGGCACTTTATAGTAGAGTTGTGCAGATCATAATTACTGTAGTGAGTTTGATCCTCACTGAGTGTCCCAAACTTGTAACCTTGTCTTGTACTGCAATACACATGGTTGAGTTACAGTGTATAAGTGTAATATATTTTATATTAATTGGGTGACCAATATTTGTGGCTTTACTCAAGACTAAGCTTAGTAATGTGGAGTAATGGTTAACAAGTTTGTTTCACAAACCATAGCTGTTGTATTGCTCATACTTGTTGCTTTGTTCTGTACTTATGCTACAGTAGGTGTCAGGTCACCTGACCCTACTATATGGGTGGAGAAGCAAAATTTTCAAAATTGCTTTGAATTTCGTTTATTCATAAATAGGCCAATTATGCAATTATTTTTATTTTAAAAAGCAACTGTAAGTAACTCTCCTACTTGAGTTTGTTTGGCCTACGCAACTCAAAAAAAAACAAAAAACTGTTGTATTAAAAAGAATGTGTTATTAGATATGTTAATACTGTATTCAAGATTTGTACACAGGAAATCAAATGTAAGTATTGTAATTCATTAGGCATAAGAAAATAAAAATGAATGAAAAGTTATGTTAAGGAAAATAAATCATTGTGATTTGTTCACGGATATTTATTTTTAAATTTTATTATCATCAGAGCTGCTTTTACATAAAGGCTCACTGCAAATCAGAAATATTTATTTTAGGAAATAACTGGAATTTAACTAAAGAATCAGAATATTAAAGTGTTTTGCCTAAATTGTCCGTTTATACAGTTTTCATCTAAAATTAAATATAACATTTTTTATTGAATGTTGGAAGATGTTTCAGGACTTTTATTTCCTTCATCAGTCAAGGATTTACATTGATTTAATTTTAAGTTCAAATGCAAAAGTACAATATGGACTTGAAACAGACAATAATAAAAAATCTTTCAACAGAGAAAATAATTTATTAGGCTGTTTGAAAAATAATGTCCAATTTTAGAAAAAAAATCTGTTGAATTATATTATTATAATAATTACACAAAAATATATTACTCATTCCTAATGATTAACACTGACCTTTTTGTTATTTCAGAATTTAAGATAAAATATTATATATCCCTCATCTTGAATATGAAAAAGAAACAAAGCGTTTACTTTTCTTTTTTTTTTTTTATGAGTTCAAGTTTGGTCATGTTTCTCAAACTGCTGCCAACATTAGCAAATCATGGGGTGAAGGATCCACTTATAATCAGACAGTACGGTACTGGTTTCAGAAGTTCCACACTGGTGATAAATCTCTTGAAGATCAAAGTGGTATAGGACGTCCATCTGCAATTGACAATCAACGTTTGAAAATACTTAGTTGAACAAAACTTACGTCAAATAGATTGATATAAATGAGGGGTATATAATGTTTTATCTTAAATTCTGAAAGAGATTTACATAAATGAGGGACATGTAATGTCTTGTTTTATATTCTGAAATAGATTGATATAAATTATATGCCCCTCATTAATATCAATCTCTTTCAGAATTTAAGATAAAATATTATATACCCCACCATCTTGAACATGAAAAAAGAAGCAAAGTGTTTACTTTTCTTTTGTTTATGAGTTCAAGTTTGGTCATAATGTTTCTCAAACTGCTGCCAACATTAGCAGATATTGGGGTGAAGGATCCTCTTGTAATCAGATAGTACGGCACTGGTTTCTGAAGTTCCACAGTGGGGATACAAATCTTGAAGATCAAGGTAGTAAAGGATGTCCATCTGCAATTAACAATCAACATTTGAAAACACTAGTCAAACAAAACTCACATCAAAGAATCAGAGAAATGTCTCAGATAATGGGTGTCAGCATTTCAACAATATTGGACCATTTCGAGAAAATTGGCATTGTGAAGAAATTTGATAAATAGGTTCGTTATGAACTCAGTGAAAGCCAATGAGTTTGACATTTTGAAATTAGAGGATCTTTTAAAGGTATCATAGAAAAATGTTAGGGCTTACAGCCACATTACATAGAAAAAACAATT